GACCAACCCGGCGCCGTTGAGCCCACGGGACGCTGCGGGCACCGGCACGTGGTGGGACGCCGCCTGGAGTCATTGCGTTTAATGGCTGAAAACGTTACACGGAACGCGGAGGGGGGGGGGGGCTGCGCTGAGGGTCCTGGTGCTGCGCCCCCCGCCCCCCTCCGGGCACAGCCCCAAGATTGAGCCAGAAAAAGTTCCTGCAGCTTGTCCTTCTGTCCCAGAGTTTTCCCTGTCCCATGCCAGGGGCTGCAGAGAGAGCGGAGGCACCGGCCGCCCCCACACCATTCATCCCTCATCCCTGAACCCACCGCCACACGGCTCGAGGCCAGGAGGAGAAGCCCCTTCCTCCATCCCCAGCCAGGATGCGAAGGTCCCGAGGGCTCCTGAGGGTTCCTCAGTTCTGCATCGCTCAGCCCCCGAAGTCAGAGGCAAAGGTGTGGGCAGGGGCGGGGGGCCGTCAGTGCGGCATGGCCGTTATCCGCATGCTCTGCGAGGCAATGGGGTACGTCACCATCGGGGTGGTGGCGTGGCTCATGGTGATGCCTCCCAGCGGCTGCGCCATCGACACGGCCACCGGAGCCACCGAAACGGCCACCGGGGCCATGGAGACCGGGGGAGCCATGCCCTGGGCAATGGTCTGTGCCAGGGCGGCCGAGAGAGGGGTGATTTCGGGGTTCATGGGGGGAGCGGCGTTGGCCGGGGGTGCCGCCTGGGCGCCGGCAGGCGCCACCAAATCCTGCTGGGAGACGGGCCGGGGCTGCAAGGCCTGGCTGCTGAGCGTGGTGTGGGTCTGCGCGATGCTGTGGTTGTAATTGGTGACGGTGCCCACGGTGGGGGCCAGAGTCTGCTCGGTGGCCGTGGCCGTGGAGCTCAGCGTCATCACCTTGGCCTGGTTGCGGAACTGGGCATTCTGCTCCAAGAGCACCTCGTTGGTCGCCATCAGGTTGTTCACCTGCTTCTTGAGGTCCTCCACGCGCTTCCGCAGCATGATGTTCTCCTCTTCCAGCAGCCGGTACTCCACTGTCCGCGGGTTGGCGAAGCTGTACTCGTAGGTCTCAAAGGACAGCCCGTCCACCCGCCGCCGCTTCAGCAGGGGCTCGTGGTCGTCGTAGCGGTCGCCGTCATATATGGCATCGTAGGGGTCGTAGCGGCGCACGGCGGCCACCATTCCCGGCTCCCGGGAGGCCATGCCCCGCGCCTCGTACTCGTAGTCCCGCTGCAGGTGCTGGAACTTACACTTGGCACCCCGCTGACAGTCACCCTTCAAGAAGTCCCTGCAGATGGGCACCTCCTCCTTGCTGTTGGGCAGGTCGGCGGGAGAGAGGCCGAGTCCCGCCGCCACCTTCTGCCGCAGGCGCGGGGGCAGCTCGCCCGTCTTCTTGTAGCAGTCCTCATCCTCCTTGGTGCCGTGGATGAAGCGGCAGTTCAGGCGCACGCATTCCTTGTTCTGGAAGTCGTGGCAGAAGATGAATTCGTTCTTGCGCACGCCCAGGTTGGTCACCTCGCTGATGTCGGGGTGCCGGAAGCGGCAGCGCTTCCCCCGCTTGCAGACGTTGCGCAGGAAATCGCGGCAGATATCATCAGCGTCGGCACCCGCCTCATCGCCGCCGCTGTTGCTGTAGCCGTCCCGGTCGGGCATCTTTGCCGCCGCGGGGGCGCTGCGAAAGGAAGGAGAGCGGCGAGGATGAGGAACCGGGCCCGGGACGCGGAGATACCGGGGAGCGCGGCCGCGAGTGAGGGGCGGCCCGGGCCCGCAGTCGGAGCTCGGAGGCGCGGGGCCCACAGAGCCCGAGACGGCCCCGCAGGAGCCGGGCCGGGTCCCGAGCGCTGCGGGCGAGGGAAGGGCGAGCACCGCCCCCGCGAGATCTCCATAGGAACCGTCTGCAGGCCCGGGAAAGGCCCGAGGGAGGCCCGGCGGTGTGGCCTGTGGCGGGGCCCGGCCTAGAGCGGGACGGAGCGGATGCGACCGATCCCGTGGCCCCGGCCCAGCTCGGCCCGGCCCGCCGCGGCCCCCCGCGCCCTCCGCAGCCCCGCACTCACCCGCTCGCGGCCTCCTCGCGAGTTCTCCAGTGCCAACAATGAGCGGTCCCTTCCGGCCGCCGCTCTGCGCCGGGCAGGAAGTGCTCTATGCTGCTTCCGGGGCACCCCGGAAGAAACTGCCCGCTTCCTCCCCGCGTCACGCGCGCACGGTCGGAGCACTTCTTCCGGGTTCGTGACGTCATAAGAGCGCGCCGCCATAGCCGCGACCCGCCGACGGCCTCAGCTCCACGGGTTCCCTGCACCACCCCGGGCCCATCCCGGTACCGACACGGAACAGCCCGCTGCCCCCGCAGCTGCAGCCCCGCGTCTCGGAGACGCGAGCTGAGCCGTCCCTCCCCCGGCCCGCTGCTCGTCCCGGTGCAGCTCCCTCCCAACCGGCGCTCCGCGGGCACCGCGCTGGGCCGCAGCCCCGAGCAAAGCACCAAAGGCGTTCGAAAACATCTCCAACTTTATTGGCGGCGCTACAGAGCCCGGCCCTTTGCGGCGGGACGGGACCCCACCACGGCCCCGCGGCGCTGGGGCGGCTCCTCACTCCTCCACGAGCGGCCCGGTCCGGTCCCAGCACTACTTGGACCTCTGTCGCATCTTCCTCCTCTTGCGCTTCAGCCTAAGGGACAGAGCGGCGTCACAGCCCGGGACCGCGCCGACAGCCCTGGAGCGGCCGCCGTTCCCGGCTCCGGCCGCGGTCCCGCGGGCAGCGCTCACACGTACCTGCGCATTCGCTTCTTGCGCCACTGCAGAGGGAGAAGAGCAGCGGGTGAGTGATGCGGCCCGCGGCGGCCCCGCGTCACAGCCCGTTTCCACTGGGGGTCCCCGCTGCCCCGCTCCGTGCCGGCATCCCCGCGGCCTCAGCTCACTCCCCGGCCCCGCCCCGCGGCCCCCGGTGTGCCCCGCGCACCGCCGGACCCTCGGCTCCCGTTCCACGACCCCACGGGGAGCTCCCCACACCCTCGGCGCCCGCAGCCCCGGCCCCGCGTAGGCCTCTCCAGACCCGCCCGCCGCTGGGGACGCGGATCGTTTCCGGGCGCCATCCGTCTTCCCCCGCCGCTCACCTTGGCCCTCATGGCGGCGCGCTCGCGCCGCGCTTAGTCTCGGTGCGGCGCCGCTGGCGGCGGATGGAAGCGGATGGCGGCGGCCACCAGCAACCGTCAAGATGGCGGCAGCAGCGGCCGAGAGAAACAGTGCCGCCCGCCGCGGCCTATTTATAGGGCCGAGCCTGCGGCCGCGCCCTCTCCGCGCACGTCATGCCGGGAGCCGTAGTCGCTCCTCCCCGCGGCATGCCGGGAGTTGTAGTCCCGAGTCCGGCCGCCATTTTGCACAGCGCTGCCCTTCCCGGCCCGGGGCGCGGCGCACCGAAGCCCCCCGCCCCAATGAGCAGAGCCACGTCTCCGTGCAAAGAGGTGCCACGAGTCAGCTTTATTTGGAAAACAGCGTCGGTTACAGAGTTCTTCTCGGGAGAGTTCTTCTCAAAATCTTAAACGAGCGGGTTTTCTGTTTCTTGTATCAAGAGGTACAGCACGTAAAAATCGGAAATTAAATAAACCTGCAGCAAGTCTCAGTGGTTTACAATGCGCGGGGTGAGCAGCTCTGCACGGACAGAATATTGCTTAAAAACACCCAGGCGCCCCGGGGCCGAGCGCGGCGTGGCGCCGTTCGACTCGACGGCGGCTGCGTCCGGGCCGCAGCACGGGGCGCTGCCTGCGGGACCTGCGGCGCTCCGCCCGAGTTGGGCCGCAGGTGAGCGGCTGGGCGGCCGCGAAGGAAAGGAAAAGCCGTCCGCGTCCAACCGCATTGAACTCGACGTTTGTTGGTGGCTTTTTTTCCCCTCGGAAAATGCTTGCTGTACGAGAGCGGTGCCCCCGGCTGCTCTCAGCCTGCATCCACCGGCTGGAGCATCGCCACCGCTCTCAGCGTTGGAACAGGCGAGCCCAGCAGCACGGCGCGCAGCAGCTGCCTGCCGTCCGAGCGGCGCCGGGCACCGCCTGCTTCCTCGGGCGTTGGATTTAAAAACAAGCTCACCACAGCAATCTGTTTAAAAATAGAGTGTTTATAGGTAAACCAAGGCAGAGACAGGGCGCAGTAGACGGGACGGCCTACGGTCTCACCGGGGACACCGAATTTGCTGTTTTTCCCAATGATAAACGTACAATCTAAAGGTTAAAAGAGAGAGAAATGCTCTGCCTCGAGGTAACGGACAGAGATCCTGCACGGCCGGGAGGAGCTGCCAGCTCTGCGGGCAGATCGCAAGCACAGACCGCTTTTCTGAGGGCATTATCAGCTTTTTTTCCTCCAAGAAAATCTGTAAAGGGAAAAATTAAAACCAAAACGAGGAGGAAGAAGAAAGCAGGCAGCTCTCCACGCTCCCTCTCACTGGGAATGGCTTAGTTGTTCACCTCTTTAACAAGTATGCGTAGTATAAAAGGTTAGAAAGATATAGACTAGCTTTTACTCCTGATTTTATTTTTTCTGCTTTCTTTTTTAAGTAGTCTGAAGTGGCAGAGAGAATCCTCCCTCCTTGGCAAAATCAATAGGAGCTGCTTGTAGGCAGTGGGACATCCGGCTGTTTGCCGTTTGGTTGTAAGAGACAAACAGCACTGGATTTTGGTTCTGGTTGTTTTTCTGGGGGGGTTTTGTGTGTGTGTGTGTGAGAGCCGGGTGCTGGGGGAGCAGCAGGAGCTGCTCAGTCTCCGGCCTCGTTCTCTTCCGCCGTCTCTCCCGTGGTGGCATTCTCTGCATTCTTGGAGGCCTGTGGAAACAAAGCCACAGCCACGCTCAGGGCAGGGACCCACAGAGCACCACAAAGGCCCTGAGGGAGGAAGGGAACCCTGCGCTCGCAGGGCTGCTGCTCCCCACAGCGCGGGGACACCAGCACTGCTGAAGTGCTGCACTGAAGCCAGCCCGAAACACAGCCGTGCAGCACTGGGTTACGCCTGGGCACTGCTGGCCACGAGAGCCGTGCCAAATCCTCCCAAAACGTGACTCAATTACCTTCTTTTTCTTCTTTTTCTGGGTCTTCCGGCTTGCAGAACTTTGTAGAAGGGCCTACGGACAGGAAGGAAACATAAGAAGCTAGAAAGCCGTGCTCTTTTTTTTTTGACAGAAGATGAAAGGAAATGCCTTTAAAGCAGAATGAGCTCTGCCAGCCGCTGGAGGAATGGCGGTAAGTCCTAACGGGCACAGTGACAGATGGAGAATGCCACAGCAGCGGCACGAGGCCTTGAGGCCAGCTGTCCAGGCTTCTCAGCGACTCGAGGAAAGGGCTGGGTGCTGCTATCGCGAGCAAAATCTGGTGTTTGATGCGGGAAACAGGAGCCCAGCCTGGTCTAAAGTACATTCTTGGGGCTGCAGGATTACAGGGAGCCACTGACTTGCACCATGACCGACTGCTGTCCTTGGGCGTGCAGGAAATTTGGCTGTCAGGGCTGAGCTTTTGCTTTTTAAGCTCCTGCCTCAAAGCAGGCTTCTGGGTTTTACTTCCCTTCACCCCAAGCACAATGAGCACAGGGCGCCCCGTGCGACACCTGTTGTGTTCCTTCTTTTTGCACCAACCTTCAGCTCTCCATCTTGCACCTCAAACTCCGACTTGTAGAGCTCAGGTTCGAAGGGGCCGCTGGTTATCCTCATAGGACCGTTAGGCATTAAAAGCACTGTGAATTTGAACTGTGCAACAAACTCTCCTGCAAAGCAGAAACAGGCATTACTGCACCACAGCAATCCCAGCTCCTGTGCTGTCTCCAGTCACCGCTGCAAACCACCCCTGGGATCTCCCTGCTAAGCAAACCAGAGGCCTTCAACCTTCAGTCTCTCGTGTCTGGGGAATTACTCTGAGAAATCTCAACTAAGCACTGGAACAAATCTGAAACAAGGCCCAGAAGCCAACAGGCAGTCGAGTGTCCTGGAGGGTGGATGCCGGGGCCCTCAAAGCATCTCTGGCATCGGAACAGCAGCAGCGTGAGGCTGGGGAGGCGCTGGACACCAGCCCACATCCAGCTCCCAGCCTCCCCCCGGCTGCACTCACCTTCCTTTTCGTAGAGCACGTTGAAGGGCTGGAGCAGCTCATGTTTGGCGCATTCCACCACCCCCATCCTGGCCTTCTTCTCATCTTCAAACGCCCTGCAGAAGAATGGGAGCCACAGCTGAGCAGATTCCGCCCCTCAGGCTTCAGAGCCGCCCCTGGGCTCAGGCTGGGGACTTTGCTTTACATCCCTCTTGCCCAGCAGTGCTGCTGTCAGAACAGGGAACTGCTGCAGGAACCACTGCCTTCAGAGAGCAGAGAGGACAAGTGGCTTTAAGGATGGAAAGGTTTCCTTCTTTTCAGAGTGAGCGCCTACAAAAACTGTTTGGATCTGCCTCCTGTCTTCACGCTGCAAGCTGGCGGTATTTTATTTTAACCACAACTCCAGGCTCCTCACCGGCCACAAAGGCACAGGAGATTCTCCTGTCCTCATCTGCGCCTGGGATTCCAGCTTAAGCCTGCAACTTCCTTCCTCCACCCACCCCGAGGCTCAAATGCAGCAAACGCAACAGAAAGCAGCAAGGCTGCCTCCGCCTCTGCGCAGACCATCACCAGATCTGCAAACTCGCCAAGCACCCGGCTCAGAGGAGGTCACGAATAAAAGCCAGTACCTGAGAGTGAATGGCATGGTGTCAAAGCGCCTCTCCACCTCGCTGAAAAAGGCACGGGAGGTTTTCATCTTCAGGCCGTACTGTTTGGAGGGGTCCCTTTTGTAAATTGTAGTTCTCTGCCCAGCATCCTTTGCCTGAAAATGCAAACGCAGGTGAGAGCAGGGAAGGAGCAGAGCAGCCCTTCCTCAGCACCAGCCAGCAGCCCGCGTGCGTCAGGGCAGCTACAGACAGAGCTTCTGTGTTCTGGTGCTGCAAAAGCACACCTGAACTCTGATGGAAAAACCTGCACCCAGAAAGGCAGAGGGGTTCCCTGCTGGGCTCGGCACGTACAAGGATCCAGCACTCGTGGGTGACGGCTGGAAACAAGCTGCTCTGACTGCGTGCAGAGCAGCAGCGAGCCAGACTCACCTTTCCCTCTCCGCTGCTGACAAGAACATCAACGGCGTAAACTTCGTGCACCTCAAATTCTGCTTTTTCGTGGTCCTTCCTGGAAGAAAGAGGTTTGGTGAGTCAAAGAATGGTAAGGAGAGAAGGCAAAACCTTTGTGGCTACAGCCACAGATCCTCAAACGAGCCCTGAGCTCAGCTTGGAGGTGTATGGGCACGAAGCAGAGCCAGGGTGACACACAAAGCAACCGGGACCTCGACCAGAAGAGCAAAAGCTGGCACAGAAGTTGAAGGTTTGCACGTCAGGCAGTAGAGCTGCTCAGCGACAAGCTGGCAGAGAAGAACAGTGACAAACCAGCGGCGTTCCTCCCCAGGACAGTCCTTCCATCCCCAGCGAATGGGGGACGCTCAGCAGCTCTGGGAACTTGTGGTCACATCATGCAGAGCGAGGGCCACCAGCCCGGCTCATCGCTACACCTGAGAGCTTGCAGGCCCAGCTCTGCACCGACCCCCTGAGCTCCAAACACCCAGCCTGAGACTCGGCCCTGACCGCATCCCTGAGGGAGAGAAGATGCTGGAACAGAACAGAGACTCGTCCTGCCCATCAGCTCAGCACCATGCTGAGATCTTACTGACAGCAATCACCCTCTGCGGGCTGCTGGCAGCTTCTGTGAGACAGCAGCAGGCCTTGGCACCCTCTGGGGAACGAGCATCCGCTGCCACGACCAGCAGTCGCTGCTTATTTTGCTGGCAGCCCCCAGGGCCGCAGGCAGTAATTCACTGATGGAGTCTCCTTCGAGAGACTGGACGGCAACCAAGAACCTGCAGGTGCCAGCAGTCCCGTGCCTCTGACTTTCAAGCTTTCTTTCTCAGAACAAAACCCAGGCACAGAAGCCGCAGCTCGCGTTCACACAGCCAAGGTGTGGGGTCACGAATCCCTTCTGGGCCAGACTTCAATCAGGAGGCAGCACGGGGAGCAGTTTTTCCTTGCTAAAACTCCTGTGGTGGCCCTCGGCCACGAGGTGCAAACTGAGCTGCTGCACCCGCGCTCGACGTCACACCAAGAGCCAGGAATGGGGCCAGGAGCCACGCGCAGCCCCTGCCTCCACACACAGCACGAAGCTCCGGAGCGATGCTCACTTTTGCTGGTCTGTAGGGTTCTGGATGATTGTTTTCTCCCCATCGATCACGTGCTGCTTCAGCTGGTGTGACAGCATCCCTGCCGAGATAAAAGGGTCCATTAACACCTCGGAGCTGCAGACCAGCTACACGGGGCCTGCATCGTTAACGCTTCAGCGCTCAGGGCTGCAGCCTTCAGCTGGGGCCAACTGTTGAGCCAACAGCGAGCGCTTCCTCAGCTTCACTCTGCTGCAGACACGGAGCTCCCAAAGCCCTCCCTGACTTCAGGGATGCTTCCTCTCCTCAGTGGGAGAAGCTGCAAGCAGCCAGGGAGGAGCTGCTGCTTAACACAGCAGCTTGGAACGCATTGGAGGAGAACCTGGGTGTCAAATTAACGGAGACTTCAGCTCCTGTCAGCAGCGCCCCAGCTGCACAGCGCTCCAAGCACATTTGTGGGCTGAATTCTCCTTTCTGCTCTACGGTTCATCTCCGAACTGGAGCCCAGCACAGATACTTCTGTCTCCACTCAGGATGGACAGCGTGAGCCCCCCTCCAGCAGCTCTGCTTGTTTCCATCAGCTGGGGCCTGAAGCTGCTGCCACTGCCTGCATAATTACGGCACTCAGCTGCTTCCAAAACAGTGCTGCTCAAAATCCCTTGACAGCGCGAGCAGCCGCCTCCTCACTGCAGCTCATGGCATGAGAGAAAGGAGCACAGCACTGAGGAGGCCCACAAAGCCATCCCACACAAGAACAGGAGCTGACGTGCCAGGACTGGGCGAAGGAGAGCAAAGACACTGAGCCAGCTTTACAGCACTGCAGGAAATGCAGCCAACAGCAGGCAGCTCTGTGCTGAACAGTGACGTCACTCGTAGGAGAAAGGCAGCGTCACTGAGGCCCCCCCAGCTGTCAAACAAGAGCTCAGCGTTCAACGAGGAGCTGCCCCAGGCCTCCCCACCCAGCCGTTGTCAGCGCTGTGAAGACAACAGGAATCGGTTTCTCGTTGTAAGGGAGGAAAAAACATCTATGGGCATCTTTTGCAATGAGCCTGCATTGCAAACAAGCTGGAGAGGAGGAGCTGGGGGTGAGCTGAGTGCAGCCTGCAGTGCCTAAAGGGAGCCTGCAGCCAGGAGGGGAGGCAGCTCCGTGCGAGGGGAGATGAGAGCAGGACGAGGGGAAACGAGGCTGAGGGAGGGCAGCTGGAGGCCGGGTGTCAGGGAGGTGCTGCGCTGTGAGAGGGGCTGAACGGCTGCCAGAGGGGCTGCGATGCCCCGTCCGTCCCTGGAGGGGTTGGAGGCCGGATGGGGCCCTGCTGTGGGACGGGGAGCTTGGTGGCCCTGCGTGTGGTGGGGTGTTGGAGATCTGTGATCCTCGAGCTCCCTTCCAACCCAGCCGTGCTGTGATTCTGTGGCCAGCAGTCAGGAAATGCTCCCCAGAGTTTGAATAGGGCAGCTGAGGATTGAGAGTGTGATGAAAACATCGCTGCTCTGCACCAGCTGCTCCCCAGCCCTTACCTTCAATGGGCGTGCAGTGAAACGAGTGGGCGATTTTGTTCCACGCGTCTGTCACTTGTGTATTCTGGATGGAGAACACATGGAAACACGTTAAGGGTTGAGGACTCGAGCCAGAAGCACGACTGTTAATTTTCACCTGGCAGCGTTTGGTGATAAAACCAAGCGGAGCTCTAATGGCTCCAAACAGAGGAGGAACGGTGGCAGGCTTCCATTTTTAATCCCCCCTCAACAAAAATAACGTGGAGCACGAGGTCGGCTCAGCCTCCCGCTCTGCACGCGGTGCCTTTTCACACACAATTCCTCTGGGAGGTAACGTGGGCAGCAGTGCTGGACGCTACTGGAACACAACATGGGGCTGAAGCACGGCGCCTACGGCTGCTGAGCAGCGGGTGAGGGGGGCTGAGAGCAGGAGGCATCAGTGAGCAGCACAGAGCTCACAGGGCTCACAGGGCTCACAGGGCTCACAGGGCACACAGGGCACACAGGGCACACAGGGCACACAGGGCACACAGGGCACACAGGGCACACAGGGCTCACAGGGCTCACAGGGCACAGCCGCCCCAGGGAGGAGGGGAAAAGCAGCACCGCTCCTCCGTGGGTCCCGCAGGGATCGGGTGGCTGCCACCCAACGCAGCGCCCAGCAAAGGAGCCGAGCTGCCTGCAGATTGCCACCGACAGGCCGTCCTTCAGGCGGTGTCACGGCCCTCTGCTTTAGCACAGCCCATCTGCGCAGCCCCTCACTCGCTCACGCCACCCCTCACCTGGTTTCCAGGCTTTACCAAACGCAGCGCGGCCTCGGCGCAGAGATGAGCCGCCTTGATGACATCGGCTTTACGGCCCGACACGGGGCTTTCCTGAAAGAACACAGAAACGAAGGCTTGTAGGGAGCGAGTCCTCGTCCCTCCCATCAGCAGGGCTGCCTACAGGCGGAGACGCAGGGGGATGCGGATGAGGGATGCAGCGCTCCGTCCCCTGGTCCCTCCCTTGTTCAAGTGCCCCCCCGTGGAAAACCTACCTTGGAGGCATCTATGACAAAACTGTGAGCTACATTCGCTATGAAGCCATCGACGTGGACTCCCAGGTCACTGCAACACAAAGAGCCTTAATTACAGGCGGGAACGGCTCGGGAAACTGGTGTGACTCCTCAAAGCATTCGAAGATGCAGGCATATTTAATAAAGCCTGACTAGATTAGCTGTTACATTCTGTAATTAGCACGACGAGGAAGTACTTAACGCGGCAAACAGGACTAGAATGCAAAGCCCAGGTGCCAAAGGCAAGCTGATGAGAAACAACCGAGACGCTTACATTTTGACCAAGTCTCCATCTTTGAGGATGTAGTCTTGGTCACTCTTCAAGGGGGAGAAGTGACAGACACAGTTATTTACTGATATACTCGTTGGGAAGGCAATACCTGCGAAGGAGAAAGAGAAACAGCCCGTGGAGTCCGGCAGCCTCACACAGAGTGCAGGCAGCAGCTCGGCCAGCGGAGCGTCACCGAGTTTGAGCTTTGTAAAGCAGGGAAGGCGCCCCGCCGAGCAGCCCCTGGTGAACAAGCACGAGGAGAGCAGCACGTGGCCCTCCTGCCCCAGCAGCCATCAAAGGAATGGATCCTCGGCGGTGCAGAAGGGACCCGAGTCTGCAGAACGCCCAAGTGTCACCCGATTCCAAGGCTGAGCGCCCGGCTCAGGGCGGCCTGCCCAATATTTATAACATAAGGAGCTCTGAGTGCAGGGAGGGCAGCCCCAGCTCAGCGGCGGTGCTCACAGCACAGGCGGCACGAGTCGCTTCTGTGCTGCTGCCACTCCAGATGGAAAAGCCCGGTGAGCTGACAAAGGCCTCACCTTTTTTCATTTCTTTTTCCTTCTTGAAAATCTTGCCGGTCTCCTCCATGATCATGGCGTCTCCCTTCTCACACAAGCACAGAACCGATGCTCCCGAATTCGCCTCTTCCACCACGGCACGCAGGACCCCTGCAGAGCAGCACAGACACGGAGCAGGTCAGCAAACTCACCACGAGCCCCTTTGTTTCTGACAGAGGGCATCGTTCTGGACTCAGCTTTGCACCGAGAGCTGCAGATGGGCAGAGAACCCACTGGAATTCGTATTGCTGTTTGAGAACCAAAGCAGGGGCAAAGCAAGGCGTGCTGGGATGTGCACAGGTGAAGCACTGCAGCCTCACACGGAGGGTTGGCACGCGAAGGAGCTGAGAAGAAACACTGCTCTCCCACATTCCTTCCAGAGCACTCAGAGCTACAGGAACAGGTTTGAAAACTGCTTGGGAGACGCGCAGCACATCAAAGAGCAGAGGGGCAGCGCCGCGGGCTGTGTGGGACCAGGAGGAAACCGCCCTTACTCTGCAGAACCGTGGCTGCATGGCAGCGCTGCACCCACACTGGGCCGTATTCTGGTGCCTGCAATTAGAGCTGGGCTCCAGGATGGGTGTCAGGGTGCCTCATGCCCTGCAGAATGGGGGGAAGGACTGGGAGCCCACGGCTGCCCCAGCACCGCATTCGTATCGTTTCCATGATCATTTCATGGGTCTCAAACGTTGGTGAGGGATAAAATAAGAGAAAATGTTCTTATAAAGAAGAGCTTTAGTAGATGGCAGGGGACTGAAAGGTGAGAACAGGAAGCATTAAGCGCTGTGGAAGGGCAGACAGGGAGCTGGGGTTTGTCAGAGCAGCAGCACCGAGCAGGGAACCCTCTGAGCCGCTCCGTGTCCCAAAGCACAGCTCCACAGAGCCTCAAAACCCCTCTGGCTCCTCCAGGTTCGTTGTGGACAGCAGCAACAGCCCAGCGACCCCGTCCCACCCCGGGGCCGCGCTCTAAGCAGGGCCACACCGCCGTCCCCCATGGGCTGAGAGCCCCCAGCCCCTCCTGAGAGGATCCCGCGGGCTGAGGAGCACCGGGAGGGCCCGGGGTCGTGCAGAGCCCGCGGGAGAGGCTGTCAGCTCCGCCGGGACAGCGAAGAGACGGCGGAAAGAAACGACGAAACAGCAGCGGGGGGGCGGGGGGGCACGGCGGAGTTCCCCGCCCCGCCCGGCCCCGGGAGCGCCCCCCGCCCCGCCGGGGGGGCCGGCAACAAACGCCCGGATCGTTCCGCGCGTGGGGCGGGGGGGCGCCGGGGCCGCGTGGCCGAGCCTTGCACTCGTTCCTACCCGGAGGAACCGGAGAGATCGGGCGGGACGGGGCAGCGCGTGGAGCACGGCCGGGCCCTGCCCCCCCCTCCTCCTCCTCCTCCTCCTCCTCCCGCTCGGTGCACGTGGGGCGCGGAGGCCACGTGCGGGCAGCGCCCGCCGCGCGGAGCCGAGCCGGGGAAACCGGAGGGGCACCACGGGGAGGGGGGGCGGCACCGGGGATCCCCAACCCCCACCCGGGGATCCGCGCGGCCGCCCCCAGCCCTTCAGAGGCCGCCATCGCCGGGTGCCCGGGCCGCCGCCGCCCCCCCCCACAGCGGCCCCGCGCGGCCCAACGCCGCCTCCCGCCCCCCCCCGCCCCCCTCAGCCCCGCGGCCCTGCACTCACGGTTGGCGATGTCCCCCCCCATCTTGTACTTGGTCACCACCAGGTCCTCGGCGATGGTCAGCTCGGCCGCCTCCTCCTCTCCCGACATGGTCGGACCCGGCCCCGCGCCCGCCGCCGCCGCTGCCGCCGCTGCCGCCCCCCCGCCGCCGCCGCCGCGCTGAGGAACCCGGGGAGCGCGAGCGAGAGAGCGCGAGCAGAGCAGGAGCGCGGGCTCCGCGCGGCGCACGCTGGGAAGCCGAGTCCCCTCCCCCTCGGACTACGGCTCCCAGCAGCGCTCGCGGCCCGGCCCCGCCGCGGACTCCAGCTCCCGGCAGGCGGCGCGGCTCTCGCGAGAGATAGAACCGGAAGTAAGGCCAGAAGTGGTGCGCGAGTGCGGCATGGCGGAAGTAAGGGCTGTGGCGGGCGCTGTCCGGCCTCGCGCAGGTCGCTGCCCCGGCATGGCGGCCCCCAGCCGCCCTTTCCTCTTCGCCTTTGCCCCCCTGCTCCGCCCGGGGCCAGACCCGCAGGTCCAATCCCATCCCGTGCCCTCTTCCTTCCTCCCTCCCCCCATCACACATCAGCAGCCACAGCTCCACAGCCCGTTCTCTTCCAGTTGTATTTATTCCACGTTTACAAACGAGACCCGACTCCCTGGGAGCGGGGAGATGCTCGGAGCGCAGTGAAAGGGCCTCTGTGGGGCCCATGGGCGCGGCCCAGTCTCGACCCACGGAGCCCCTCGGGAGGGCCGGGCTGCCAGGGTTGCCATGCGGCGTGGGCACACAGCCCAGCCTGCAGTCGGGGATTACCCTCAATCCACCCCATGCAGGAAGCAAAGAAATGCAGAGCCTCTCACCCATGGCAGCTGGGAGGACCCCAACCCCACAGGTAGCCCCCCCCGAATCCCCCCTCCCAGCCCAAAAGCAGGGAGCCTGACCCCAGCCAGGGCCTGCTGCTGCAGTCCTGCACGGGGAGGGGAAACGCTGGGAATATCCCTGGGGCATGGCAGTGCAGAGGAGGGGTCCAAGGCCCCTCTCCCATGGGGCCTGAGGTGTTCGGGATCAGCCCCACACCCAGGCAGGGCTGCCCCCCCCAATCCCACGTCTTCATGTCCCCCATGGAGCTTTGTCTCTTGCCCTCCGTCCAGCAGCAGTGGGGGGGACGATCCTTCATATCCAGTGTAAACAGCTGGGGGGGCAGGGGGTCCCTACGTCCGCTGGGCGTCCATCTTAGTGAAGAGGCGGCTGTGCCAGTAGTCGGGGTTGTCGAAGGCACAGTCCGAGGCCTCCAGGCTGCGCAGGGGCTTCATGCAGGCTGGGGGGGGTCCGGGGGGGCTGCGGCAGCCAGGGCAGGGAGGGCCACGGGGGGCCAGCACCGCCTCCATCTCCTCGTAGCCCTGCTCCTCTGCTGGGGCCGGGGGGGGGCTCCCCAGGCCGCATGTCGGTGTAGCCGTCGTGCCGGGGGGGGCAGCCCTCATGCCGGGGTCCCGGCCCCCCCACCACGTTGCCCAGCGAGCGGCTCAGCCGCGGCTGCTTGTTCATGTACTCATAGTCCTCCTCCTCCTCCCCACGGCCCGGGGAGGGCCCTGCAGGGCTGCCCAGCTCGGAGCCCACTTCCATGTATTCGTAGCCCAGCTCCTCCAGCGAGGCTGGCCGCGGTGGGGGGGCTTGCAGCGGGGCGCCAGGCTGCCGGTTCATGTACTCGTACTCCTCCTCCAGCTCCGGTACTGAGCCCCCCGTGGGCTCTGGTTCTGCGGAGTGGAGGTCAGACAGCGGCTGTGCCCCCACAGATCTACCGCAGGACTGGGGCTGAGTCCCGGGGGGCTCAGTTGTGCCAGGGAAGGGGGTTGAGGAAGGGGTTTGGGGAAGGGGCCACCCAGCCCTCCCTACAAATGCCGAAACCCCCAACCCTAACCCTGCAGAACCCCAAATCAATTCTGGGGCTGAGACCCCCACCCCAAGGGAGCCCCCCAGTGCCCTGCAAGGAGAGACCCCCACCCACAGCCCAAACCCTGCTGGGAAGGAACCCCCCACAACCGGGAATGGGACCCCCAAGCTGGGACCCTCACCCCGTCCGGCGCAGCTGGGTGTCACGTAGCCATTGGCGTCCTCCTCGCTGCCCTCTGAGCTGGGGGGCGGGGGGGGGAAGCTCTCCCTCTGGGACAGGTACGCGCTGTCCCCCCGTGAGCGCAGGCTGCGGCAGAGGCTTCCCGACAGCGACAGCCCCTCGGCCAGGTCCAGCTCTGAGGCCGTGCCCCGGCCCTCCGATGACTCCGACACCGTCCGCCCCACAGACTCCTGGCGGCTGCGGCGCGGCGGACGCGTCCCAGTGCCCTGCGGGACATGGCAGCGATTGGGGGGGGAGGGGAAGGGCTCCATTACCTCCCCTTCAGTGCAGCCTCAGAGCTCCAGCCCCACAGCCCCCTGAGCCCCTGAGCCCAACCCCAACGCAATGAAATAAAAGGAATTGAAATGCAATGAATTCCACTGCAACGCCATGGAACGCGGCGCAGCCCAAACCCTTTGCTCCCCCCTCGGTGCTCCCCTTCCCCCTCCCACCCCTGCTCCAGGTACCTGGCGGCTGCTGAGGCCGGGCTGGTTCATGGGGATGTATCCAGCTGGAGGGCTCAGCAGGCTGGGACTCTGGGGGGGGACACGGGGGGTTGGTACCAAGCGGGGCAGCGCATCCCAAAGGGGTTATGGAACGGGGGTCCCCACCACGGTGATGGCTTAGGGTTAGGGTCAGCTCTGCCCCCCCCAGGGGGAGCAGAGATCTGGGGGACACCAGACCCACACTCTGCCCATGCCCAGGATGCAGCCAGACCACAGCAGGGGCCCCAGGGTGGGGGGGGGGGGGGCGAGGGGGCTCACCCGGGTGCAGCTGCCCCGTGGCCGCGGGGGGCAGAGGCCGAAGGACACATCCAGCTCCTCCTCCTCCAGCTCCAGCGTCTCCATCTCATCCAGCTCTTTGTCGCTCAGGGTGGGGGGCTCAGCGGGCGGCACGGCCCCACTTTCCTGCAGTGGGGATGGGCACGTGAGGGGCCGCGGGATCCCGGCCCAGGGGGGGCCCAGGGGGGGCTCTCACCCACCTTTATGACCAGGTAGCGGGGGGGGTCCCGCGCCATGCGGGTGAACTCGTTGGCCAGCTCCTTGAAGGTGGGGCGGATGTTCTCGTCGATCATCCAGCCTGGGAGCCAGCAGAGAAGGTCGTGGCAGGGTGGGGGTCACGGGCAGCCCCCCCCCCCCCTTGCCAAGACAGCGCCCCCCACTCACATTTCACCATCACCATGTAGACGTCGATGGTGCAGATGTGGGGCTGCGGGAGCCGCTCGCCCTTCTCCAGCAGGTCGGGAACCTCTGGCAAGCGAATCCCGGCGTACGGCTCAGCCCCAAAGGTCATCATCTCCCACAGCGTCACTCCTGGGGGGCAGCAATGTGAGCGCAGGGTGGCGGAGGGGCTGATGGGGGGCTGGGGGGGCTGCGCTCACCGTAGCTCCACACGTCACTCTGGTGCGTGTACTTCCCAAAATGGATGCTCTCCAGTGCCATCCACTTAATGGGTGTCTGAAAGGAGGGGGGGGGTTGGGGGTGTGATGGGGGGGGG